TCATTCTTTATTCTCTTGTGGTAGATGTAATAGTATTTCTTCTCGTAATATTACTCAAAAATAATACTAATATAACTCATTTATATAATTTAAAATAAAAATTGTAGACATTTACCTTTTCAAATGTCATTTAATTATAAAAAAATATTAAAATATTAGGATAGTTTGTCGATTTCTTTAAAGTCTTTAAAAAAAATATAAAATCTAGTTAATATAATATTAAATATACAAATTAAATAACACATGATTATATTAATAATAATTAACTGGTTAAGCGTATGTAAAGTAAAAGTTTCAATAATATTGATTAGAAAGCATGACATTTCATCTAAAAGAAAAATTGATTTGTTTTTGAGATGCATTTATATTTAGATTTTACATCAGTTTAAATTGCACATGCACGTGCTCACGTTTATTAATATTTTGATCTATCATGATAAATGATTTAATACATTCTCGTAGACAATGCGTCGGTGTAGTCGTTTGCAAAACTTGTTTCGAAATGGTAATTCTTACCGCGCGTAGAATGCTAGGTGCTTCGCAACACGAAATATCACTAGTTTCGACGTTTTCGAAATAACTCGCAATGGTAGTTCTCTATGTATATATCTAAAAATTCGCACGGAAAACAATGCAGCCATTTTGTCTACGTCACTATTGTTTCAGCGTACAATGACGGAGTGACGGCTGCATTTCTATGCGATTAAAAGATGAAAGTGGAAATGCATTTTTAAATAATATAATATAATATAATATATATATATATATATATAAAGATAAAATGAGAGAGATTCTAATCTTAATAATATGAAAGCAAAAAGAAAACTGACTAATAGAAGCCAAGCGCAGAAAATAGAATGCGAATAATTATTTTCAAAAAATTCCTTTAATTAAAAAAAAAAAAAACATTTTAATCCCTTTTTGGACTGTTTTTACTTTGTAAATATACTAAAAATTATGCTTGGACCTTCAAGCAATTTCAACGATTCCGACAGAAAGTATCGATTCCAGCTATTATATAAGAACAAACGTTCATAGTATATATTTAGATGGCATCCCAAACAACATCTAAAAACAGGACATAAAACACCTTAAAGATATCTTAAAGACGTCTTAAAGACATATTACAATACATATTAATGTCTATAAATGATGTGTAAAGATCCCGATTTTAGACGTTTTGTTGTCTGGGATTGTAAAAATGCCATATAATATATATATATATATATATATATATATATATATATGTACATATGTATATGTATATGAAAAATTTTACAAAAATTAAAATAAATGTTTGATCAAGTAAGAAAGTTGTGAATCTTTTGCAGATACATATATAGATCTATTATATGAATATTATATCAAAATGACGTAAAAGAAAATAAGTCCAAATCCATCATTATAATAGCTAAGTTTATCTGTATCAAAAATGTTTGTTATTGCAGTATCGCTTTATAATATACATATATACATATATATTATAAAACAATACTGCAATAATTGATATAGTCTGATTAAATAACATTTTAATTAAGAGAAAATAAATACATTTTTATATAAGGACAAGAAGAACATTGGCTAAAATAAGAGCCAGGCACGGAAAACAAAGCGCGAATATATATAATATATAATTTTGAAGGTAATTTATTCGCGCTTTGTTTTCCGTGCCTGACTCTTATTTTAGCCAATGTTCTTCTTGTCCTTATATAAAAATGTATATATTTTCTCTTAATTAAAATGTTATTTAATCAGACTATATCAATTATCGCAGTATCGCTTTATAATATATATGTACACAGAAAAAACAGTATCCTTGAGAGAATGCAAATATGCTTTGATTCAAGTATATTTTATCCTTATAATAGCACCAAATATAAATAATTTTGGATAAAGGATAATTTATCCTTAAAACAAAGTGCAAAATATTCTTGGTTGAAGCTGAAATTTACTTATAAATATTGCAAGGACAAGTGACAAGTGTGCATCGGATATAAGCGGTACTTTCAAATAAATATAATAATTCTTAGTTTAAATGTGACTAAGTTTGTTTTTACCATATGCGATTTTTAAAACAAGAATATATCTTAAGGATAAAATATACTTTACACAAACTTATTTATTATTAAAGCAAATGAAAATTTGTGATTACAAAGAGCATTCTATGCTTAAATCAATCAAATAGCGTTCAAGAATAAAAATATACTTAAATCAAGGATTCCTTTTTTTCTGTGTATATATATGTATATATGTAATATTATAAATTAAACTAAACGTACTTCATTGAAAAGTAATTTTAATAATATTATTTATAAATTGCAATATACACATATAAATTATTTATTACATATAATAGATTTAGAATATTATTTAACAAAAAAATTTGTTTGACTTTATATCTATTTAATATTTATTTTATTGTGTGAACACTATACACACACAATATTAACACTTTTCATAGGCTAATAGTAATAAAATATCACATAGCGTGAAATGTGAGATCTTGTCGAATAGTATGCAAACTGTTAACACATTTCAAAGGATGAGAAGTTCTAATTATTAGAACACGTATATGTAGAATGATTGATAGGCGAAATGTGTAAGCTACTCGACACGCACATGTAATAATGGGCATGAGAGATTTTCTTTTTAAAAATGCATATGGTAATATTCTTTATTACTTATTATTAATTTTTGTAAAATTTTTATAAACTTATTTTTCTGTGTTTTTATTGATATAAAAATATCATCGATATAGTCTAGATCATATTTATATGTGGAATTTTATTGTAGACTTGTAAATTCTAGCTTTTCTCGATCGTGAAGAGAAGAACATAAAGCGCAAAAGTAATTGTCAAGTTTAGTTTCTCTCTGGAAACTCGTTGTATGCTTTATTGCATGGCGTATGAACAAGATTCGTATTTCAAACGTAAAGTGTTTATTGTCCCGCTGAAACTAATTCGGCAAGAACTGAATAAAACTACCATGAAACATGTAATTAAATACACGAATCTTTGTTTCACGAAAGATTCATCGATGTATTTTCTTTCGGTTTTTTTTCAATTTAGTATTTAATTTAACGCCATGCAATAAAGCATACAACAAGTTTCCAGAGAGAAACTAAACTTGACAATTACTTTTGCGCTTTATGTTCTTCTCTTCACGATAGAGAAAAGCTAAAATTTACAAGTCTACAATAAAATTCCACGTATAAATATGATCTAGACTATATCGATGATGTTTTTATATATATATATATATATATATATATATATATATATATGTGATAAATAAGTTTACACTTATTGTTAAATAAACCTGTTTTTATATATATATATATATATATATATATATATATATAATATATATATATATACACTTATTGTTAAATAAACCTGTTTTTATATATATATATATATATACATATATATAAAAACAGGTTCATTTAACAATAAGTGTAAACTTATTTATCACATATTGTAAACTTATTGTTAAATGAACCTGTATCCAATAGCATTATTAACATGACTCTCGAACAAATAAGTTTTAACAAAAAACATATTAAAAGTAAATTTCTTAAATTCAATCTGCTACTATTTATTTTTTCGTCAGATGTAAATAAAGAAATAATTTTTGTACTAAAAAAATTAAAATTTTGATTAAAGTTTAGATAAAGATTTTATCTTTATATTTTAAATATGATGTTTTAAAAACTAATCATTCACTATATATCTTGTTTGGTTAAACTTAATAAACTGTTGTTTACTTAATTTAGAATAACAACAGTTATTGCACGCAATAAGAACAGTTTATTAAGTTTAATCAAATAAGATACAGTGATTGATTAACCTGCAATGTAGGGCGAGTTGTAAGAGCTAATGTCGACGCAAGGGATTTACTTGTAATTTAATAAATATTTGCGGAAAACATACACGATAATTTCTATGTTTAGGCTATATATTGCGTTAATTTGCAATGATAGTTACAAGTAGCTTTAAAGATACCAAACAATTGTAAATAATATATTTTAACTTGTTACAGAAATATGTTTATAAAGTGTAAATTTTATAGTTTGCACATATTATATATTTAAAATTGATTAAAAAATATTTATTACATAGATTTTATAATATTTATTGGTTTATTGTATTTATATATGCTATTAAAGTAAGAGCTACAGAGGTTGTCTAGTATTGATTATAAAATACATATTAGTTTATTACGCAGTCTATTATTACAGTCCTATGCACATACATATAGCAATAAGTTCGAATAAAATTATGTTGCACATACAACATTATGTTTAATATGCAAGGGATATTTTCAATCTAAATTCCTATTATAATTGGCAGCAATTTACATAACAATTTACACCTTTACTGCATGCAATTTTAGCATAAAATCGTGTCAATTCGCATAATTGCTGTTTGTATATTGTATTGGATTTCATGTGAAAGTTGCAATATGTGTATATTAAATATATATATATATGTGTGTGTGTGCGTATGTGTGTGTGTGTGTGTGTGTGTGTGTGTGTGTGTAAAGCAATTAAATATATATATATATATATATATAAATTTTATGCATAGAAAACAAAAAACTTGAAAAAATATATACATGCAAAATGTATAACAAAATTGTTTATGGTTTGTGAATATAGTCATTAAAAGAAACAATATTAAAACGATGACAGAAAGATGTAAAATTCTACTTGTAAAATAGCAAAAAAAAGATATATACATAGTATACTTAAAAGTATCTTTTCTATAATTACAAGCTCTTTAAAAAAAATAATATAATCCAAATTTTTTTAAAAATAATATTTAATTGTAACAAACAGCAATATCTATATACATATATTTTTTATGCAACAAAACTTTATAATAAGAAAGTCTTGTAAAACAAGAGATGATGACAACGGATTAATCGTCATAAATCTCAGTAATTCGCTGGAATCTGGAGGAGAATATTAAGTAGCGATGTCATGCCGTTTGTTGCAGATACATGGCCATTATGCATCCTCTTAAACATCATATGTCTCGCAAGAGAACAGTAATTACTTTAATTTTAATCTGGAGCATTTCATCTGCACTAGCGATTCCGTGCCTTTTATATTCCACAACATCATCGCGTAGGTAAGTATAATTATATGCTAATTTTTATATTCAGGATCTGAATAACTTCAGAATCCAAAGTTATAATGTATTTTTTATTATCTCTCTTTTTTATAATAAATTTTTATTTATTTAATTTAATATAAATATTTATTTTTTCAAAGAATTTTGAATGTAAATGTGATAAAAGTGAATCAGAATATAATAATTTTCATATTTTAATGGTAACTGCGATGTATTTGAATAATGGTATCAATTCTGCTTTCGTATTTTTTGCACTTTACATATTATTTCTTATAATATAACAGATCAATAAAATATACATATTCCTTGAAGAACGTATACACACATACACACACTTTACATATACACAGACCAAAAAGTTAAAAGTAAAATATTACTTTACATACATTCTGTATCTTTTATTTTCAAAATTGTCCTGTGTAAGTGATTTGGCATACTCTATGGCATGCATGTATCCTTGTAGACGTGTCTAGAATTTCACATTTGCACCGTGATACATTTACTATCTGCACGTGCTTGAAACGGAAATGCGTTCTTCAAAGAATCTGTTTTATTGATATGATCTATTATTTTATATTTTGTATATATACATATTGTATGTATATATACCTTTTTTATTTATAATTTTTCATTTTGTACTTTAAGTAAATATATTTATAAGTATATATATCTAAAATTACATATAATTAAATAATTTTTGATATTTAATTTTGCATTAAAAAATGTTAGCAAAAAATACAAATTTTTTAGGACACAATAAGAAAGTAAAAAATATATATATTGCATATAACTATAAAATTATTTCATTGCGTTGTTTCTTTTATTCTAGAATCTTACTCTGCATGAAAGCATGTCACATAAAAATTCCTTATTATATTTCCGTAAAATACATTTTTTTAAAATAAATATGTTCTGTGGAAAAAGAACTTATAATGTGACTTTAGATATTACTCTTGTAATTTAATTATATACAATTTCAAAGTTATAGTCGGTAAAGAAATATTCGAAAGAGAATGTGTTTCATTAAAAATCTCTTACTTTATTTAATTTAATTTACCACATAAAAGCAAGACTCTTAAACATGTATTACATATAACGTGGTTTTAATTTTATACGGTCCCTTTCTTCACTTTACAACTCAATTATAATGCTTTAGTTCGTGACTTGTTCGTATCTTGCTATGTAATTATATTATCTACATCGATATTTATAAATATTTTAGATTTTTAAAGGTTGGATCTTTACAAGTCATTTTATGTAATTTTACTTTATGCATTATTTTGTATATTTGTATAATCATCAAGTATTTAAGATAGATTATTATCAGTATAAGCTATTAAGTATATAAAGATATAATAAAATAAAAAACTAAAAGCAGGTACCATACTTTATATATCGTAAATATAATTGGTCAAAATATGAGCTAATAAGTTAGATTAAATAAATAAAGATAACATTAATGAAAGTATACAATCAATTAAAAAACAATAAAGAACCAGCGCAGTAGGTGAGGCGTAAATAAACACATAAATACAAAAATAAAATTAATAAAAATATACGAATTTAAAATTAAAAAAATAAAGTTTTTAATAATAATATAAAATTATTAAATACTATTTAATTTGAATGTTAAATACAACTAGTGATAGATAAAAAGGCCAACTTATCGAGCAATTATTAGAGTTGTTCTGTCAAATAAAATTTATTTCATGTATAAACTAAACATAAAACATTATGTGAAAGCTACAAACATTCTATACTCAAACTTAAGCGAAAATTACAATTATTATAAAATAAACGTTTCAACCGCACGCGGTCTTCTTCACAGTATTATATTACAGTAATTATTAAAAAATACAAAATTATACAAAAATTCCACATAATATCGAAAATTAATGTTAGTTCTTCAATAAGAGTCGAGAATTTATAAGCAGTTAAAGCGTGTTTTAATCCGTCATATCCAACAAATGTTTGCCTCGATATGATCTTTGATTTTATTCAAATCTCGAAAAGTTTCATCGTTAATATGCGAGAAATTAATACGTTCCGTAGGCGTTGACATCGTCCTTCTTGACAATTTTAACCACGTTTTTTTTAAAAAGTTATTGAAGATGACACAAGACAAGACCAACAATATAAAAAGACACCTCATTTCAAACTCTCCACGTAAGTTTGAAATGAGGTGTCTTTTTATATTGTTGGTCTTGTCTTGTGTCATCTTCAATAACTTTTTAAAAAAAACGTGGTTAAAATTGTCAAGAAGGACGATGTCAACGCTTACGGAACGTATTAATTTCTCGCATATTAACGATGAAACTTTTCGAGATTTGAATAAAATCAAAGATCATATCGAGGCGAACATTTGTTGGATATGACGGATTAAAACACGCTTTAACTGCTTATAAATTCTCGACTCTTATTGAAGAACTAACATTAATTTTCGATATTATGTGGAATTTTTGTATGATTTTGTATTTTTTAATAATTACTGTAATATAATACTGAAGAAGACCGCGTGCGGTTGAAACGTTTATTTTATAATAATTGTAATTTTCGCTTAAGTTTGAGTATAGAAGGTTTGTAGCTTTCACATAATGTTTTATGTGTAGTTTATACATGGAATAAATTTTATTTGACAGAACAACTCTAATAATTGCTCGATAAGTTGGCCTTTTTATCTATCACTAGTTGTATTTACAATATACAAGCGAAACTTTGTATCAATTGATTTTGAATGTTAAATACTACAAAATAATTCCCAGACTATATATTGGTTCAATATATAGCCAAAAGCAATGTATTACATCTTCTTTTAAATAAATTAAAAAACTAATTATTTTTTTCTTTGAATGTTTTCTCCTTGCTTATGACTTTTCTCTATACATATTTATAATTTATACGAATTACTTTACACGCAAAGCTTATTGTTTATAATAGAAAAACAAAAAAGATTGTGTGCGTAGAGTTTCTACAGTATGAGAAATTTCAGAAAAAGTTCTTCAAAAAATTCTATTTCTTTATAAGAATAAGTTTTAAATAGAAAAAATGTGCGTAATGGATTTTAAGAATCTTCTTATCCTAAGCACACATTATATTTTCTTTACTGTGAATTGTAAGCCTGATCCTATCCTTTTAAAGCTGACCGCCTGCTTCTAAAGCATAATTTTTTAAAGCACCGTTCGTATATTTTTAGCGTCAACTAAAATATTTTCTTCTATATAGTTAATAGTTTTTTTCATGAATTTTAAAAAGTTAATAACAGTTTTTTATAATAGAAAATAAATTATGCATGCATTATACTATAAACTACTCTAAATATCAATTGAGATACCCGAATTATTAACATAAAAGGAGCAGCAATGTTTTGAAATCGTGTTTTATGGAAATTAAATAATACGCGCACGCAAGCAAACTTGATATCTTTATTAGTATTTTCATTGAATTTTTTTGCAAATAAAATTTCTATTCACGAATATCTCTTAGCAATTTTAAAGTCTATTTTATATGGTTATTTGATGTTCTATTTAAATAGTTTTCATATCCGCATTATTTTTTTTCTTATATCTATTTTATTTTTCCTTTTTTTTCAATTTTGATATCACTATGCTATAAAGGGATATAAAAATATTCAACTTTTATTTTTTAATATCTGAAAATGTAAAAAAGCATATATATTTTAATAATGGATTAGAACTGTAATAATAGATTAGAACTATTTAACGAGTTTCTTCTATCTCCCTGGACAATATGTATTACGTTAATGACTATTTATTTCAATTTGCTTAAAGAAACTAATGTATAGTGTCTTTACAGATATTCCCATGGAACAACCAGGATTTCATGTTACCTTTTATGGCCTGACGGAGGTTATTTGCATAGTAAGACAGAATATTGGTAAGAAATAAATTCCATTCTATTGATTTTTTTATGCCAAACCTACGGATCTTAGTATAATGAACTTTGAAAATATGTCTGTGTGTGTACGTGAGAGAAATTGAGACTATTAGTTCTTTGATAGAAAAGGCGCGCACGTAAAATCGCGTGCAGAAAGAAATTCCTGTAAACTGTGTCCGCAGCAGCGATCCATTACAAATGCAAAAGAGATTGAATCAACGATTACCCTGAGAAGGTAGAATGGGAGATTGGTGTACGTTTGCTATCAACATATCACCGGGGAATGATAAGACTAGTTCGACCTAATTCGAACCCTTGCATTTGATCCATTGTTTGCGCCAATTAAGGGTTATTAATAATTCAAAAACTTCTATAATTTTATTCATTTTCACTTAGAAAACATATTAAAATTATAAAGCATTGTTAATTAATGCAGATAAGCATATGAATGAAAAAGTTTGATATATAATTTTTCTCAATTTCAAATTTTAACAAAATTACATTTTATAGTTTAGTAACTCTCTAATCGACAATTTAAAAAATTGCTATAAAAGAAGAGAATTTAATTAAATGTTTCCTAGAATAAAATCCCCTTTTATAAGTATAAAATTCGAAAGAGTAGATACAAATTTTGTTCATGCACTATATATAATAATATAAAAATTTAAATCCTTTTTTTGAATGCGAATTTAGACTAAAAGAATTTAAATATAAAAGAGGTAAGCTACTTTTAAGGTCACTGATAGCTTCGCTTTGTTTGTGAAACTCACCGTAAAATCGATTTAAAGTCTGCGTTACATTGTCTGGCAAAAAAGGAAAAGTTAAAAAGAATAAACTGATATAGGGCGTAAAAAGTCAATATTGAATATGGTTCTGGTTTGCTTTTTTTGCGAAAATAATAATTTAAGATTAACTTATAAAATAGAACAAGTTTTTGATATTTTTTACGAGGGAAAATATCATAAATATTATATAAAAAAAATTAAAATACATTGAACTTAGAAAAAATATATAACTGTATATATAATCTATAATTTGAGTGGCAAATATAAATACAAATTTATTTTTTATTATTTGTATTATACTTATAGCGTATTCTTTCTCTGAATAAGTTTACAAAATTTTGAATTTTTAATTAAATTTTGAATAAAAAATTTAATTAAAATTTTCTAATTTAAAAAATTAAACAATTCCAAAAAGGAATATTTATATTCAAACTTTTGAGAAAAAATGTTGATTTTTAATTAATTATTCTTGTAAATTTTTATTGTATCTTATTCAAGAAAATATCTGTACATCATCTAAGTAAAACTTTAGATAAATGTATGTCCGCGAAGTTTTCATTTATTAGATAGTTTGCAAACTTAAAGCTGTTAGTGCAATACACTCTTCTCTTACGAAGAACATCGCTAAAGTTTACGTAGAGAATGTCTCTGTTCCTACATATCTATATGAAATGTTTCCAAGTTAAGTTTATTCAACAACAATTCTGCTGGATATAACATATAATAGGATAATTTAAAACAGTTTAGCAGGAAGTGGCAGAGTTCCATGTATATATATATATATATATATATATATATATATATATATATATCAAAATAGTATTTACACACATACATATAAATTCTACTTCACACAGTTTCTACATCAAGAGCTAGGTAATCTTATTGAATATTTCTCTTATGTGTAATTTGAGTTATTAAGCGATTATGATTTTCGTGTATATTCTCTTTTAGGATTAAAATTCCCCAAAAAATGTTTGCAAGAACAAGATCGAAATTATATATGTTGTACCAAAGTACAATTGTTAAAATGTTTCGAGCAAATGACAAAAATTATTATTAAAATGAAATAAATTTTAATTAGTATAAGATAATTAACAAATTGATTCCCATAAGAGATCGCCAAATAATCGCTGTGTCAGGAAACGAGTAGGCTTTAACAATAACAAGATTTCGGTTTGGAAGAATAAGTCTTTAATTAAAAAGGTACTTCAAAAATCACGAGAATCAATGAAAGAGAGATTAAATGTTTTACAAAGGTTATATCAGATAGCTTATCGTTACAGTAATACGCACACAAAAGCAATAAACGCTTCTAATCGTTTTACAAAATAGTAAGCGCGTTAACAAATTACAATATTGCACTAGGCGATAGGATCGACGAAGCCGTAAGTATAATTCGATAAAGTATAAATCAAAGACACGCGGCCTGTACACGAAATTAACGAAGCAAGTAAACGGCGAGACTTCCCGAGAAAGAGTGTCCGCTCCAACTTTTGGCTCTCGGAGCGCGAGGTTCCTTTTTGGGGTGAGTCAGCGGTGGGGCTGTAATCAGGTGGAAAAAATACCACACTCGTTTAGTCGCCGCTACCTCTATCTTGGTGCTAAATCCAAAATTTCTTACATAGTTATATCAAAAAATTTTACCTTCAACGATTACAAATAGCATGCAAAAATTTTTTTAATAAAACCTTTTTCATTCACGATATATTGAAGCAAATAGATAACATTTTTGCGGTTATGTATATAACACATTGTAACTGAATAAAAAATTTAATTTTTTGTATAATTATTTTATTTATCTGCAAATCAGAGAATATTTTGCATAATAAATTCTGTGATTCGTATGATTTAATAAATTTAAATCAAAAAATTGCACAATAAAAATTTTATTTTCATTATATTATTATTCTACTTTACGTATAAGTATATTTGGTTTTTTCTTTTTAATTTTAATAACTATTGAGTCCTAATTCTCTTTTTCTCTTTCTCTTTAATTACACTGGTCGACACTATTTTGGCTTTAAGCAAACGAAGCTGTTTCTGGTAGATTTTGATACGCTAATTACGAATCTGGCTCAGAAAATATTACGTTAAGTTTTTGAGACAGTCTAATCTAAAAGTGCAAAAAATGAGGTTCAGGCTATTTTTAATGACCTATAAAATCTCTAACAATTTTCTTTCAACATTCGGATGAATGGCATATTAAAAGTGTTATACTTATCCTTTCCAACGCATATTTGATTGCTGTGATTCGAGATTCAATTTTTATTTTTTCGAAATACTTAAGTCCTTGTATTTTCTCTACACGCGCGTATAGGTATACCTTGTTGCGTTGAAAAACGAAAAAAGTTCAATTTGCTCTATTTCAGCGAAAAAGAATTATAGCAATCGATTATAGCAATCGATTACGCGTTGGAAAGGGTAAGTGTAGTACTTTAATATGCCACCCAAATGTTGAAAAAAAATTGTTAGAGATTTTATAGGTCGTTAAAAATGGCCTAAAATCTCATTTTTTTATTAGAATATCTCAAAAACTTGACGTGATACATTTTCTGAGCCAGATTTGAAATCAGCGCATCAAAATTTACCAGAAACAACTTCGTTTGCTTTAAGGCAAAAAAATTGTATTTTTGTCGACCAGTGTTATTTATTTAGTTATTAAAATTGAATATAATTGAATCGTTTTGATTTTTATGCACAAATTCAAAAATTATCACAATAACATGATCGAGTAATTGTGTGGCTCAAATTTTCTATATCTACATTTTTTTAATATATTCTTATAAATACCTATATAATACTAATCCAGAATTAAAGATTGAATTTGTCTTATATATTACTGCTATGTCGCATTTTTAAACTTAAGCTTTCAATTAACAAAAACCCTATATGCCCTATTTGTCTTCTTGAGTAATTTGCATTGCTAGCTACTATATTTTATGAAATGAGTTACGGTTTTAATAAAACTTGGTATAATAGCACAGTGTTGTGTTGTGGATTTTTTATGGTTATACATAAATTATTTATTCTACAGCTACAATCTCCTATTCCTCACTGTAACATATCTGGTTCCTATGACAGTGATGGGTATCTGTTATACGTGCATGGGACGAAAATTATGGGGTTCAAAATCTATCGGCGAACTTACACATTATCAAAGAGAGTCGATGAGATCTAAACGTAAGGTATGTTATCGATTCTACTTATATTATCTACTTATATACATTTAAGTAACATTCCGCGTTGACGTAAGTATATAACGTACAAAATGTATCGATGTATCGGCTATCATATTGTGAAATCTAAAAATAAATATTTTCTTGCTTCTTGTATCATGATATTTCTTTAAACTTTTTAAAAAGAAGATGCATTAACAAAATTGAAAAATAATCACAAATATAGAAATAGAGAAAATCTTCAAAAATACCCGAAAACTTCAAAATGTACCTTTATAAACTAGGTTGCCGTCGCATTACTACTATGAAACGATTTGTAATTTTAGTTAGGAAAATTTGTAAATCAAAAGTTCTTATCTGTTTAAATAACAAAAGGTATATATTTTTCATGATATAAATTATATTATTTACTTCTATGTTTTAAATTAAACTTTAAATTGCCTTTGGTAATCATCAAATTAATAACTTGCAAATGCAAGACGAATGTTCAAGCCGAACTTGAGGACAGTAGGTATCTATTAAGCTCTTCTTAATACTATTGCTCAACGGTGCATGTTACAATGGACATTGTTAATATAAGTTTTGGAATTAGATGCAACTATAAGTGACTGTTGCAAATATTGTTTTTATGCAATCGCAAAAGCTGTAACTGCAAAATGCAGCAGCAAAAATATTTGTCAAACTTTATTAAAAGCTTAATAATATATCTGGAATACATAAGAAATGAATTGCCTAATAAATGTTGTTTCTTATAAAAAGTAAAATGTAATTTTGAAAAGTATTGTACATATTTATAACCGATCTTAAGATTCATTAAAATGTCTAATTTAAAAAAAAATAATAATTGAGGCAAACTAAAAAGATTTTCTTAATATTTTTTATATGTTACAGGTTGTAAAAATGTTTATCATTGTAGTGGGAATATTTGCAGTGTGCTGGTTGCCATACCAGGGATTCTTCATTTTTGTATATCATTACCGTCATTTCGCAGAAAGCAGTTATGTACAACACGTATATTTAAGCTTCTATTGGCTTGCTATGGCCAACTCTATGGTTAATCCGATTATATATTACTGGATGAATAACAGGTATTCATCATATAATATATTGTTTCTTATAATATAAGCAATGTTGAAAAATCTTAACAAGAAAATACAAAGCTATTTTTTAAACAATTTTAGAAAGCAATTAATAAGACTTAGTTTCACAGAATAACGATTATCTCGTTTTATAAGATAATCTCTTCAAAGAATGAATTAATTAAAGAAAAGTTTGCAATTAATATGACTAAAATTTTGTAATACAATACACTGATGGGAGATTAACAGCATAACGTGTAAAATGAAAAAGTATACTGAAAACTTTAATATTAAACTGATCGAATCCAAGTCTAATGTAATAAATGAGATTTATGTAAATCCCAGTAACATCGAATCAAACATAATACTTGGATAACTCTTGGGATAAAGCGAAGCAGTCAACCGACAATTTAAAGGGATAAAGATGAAATTCAGCATTAACGTCAAAAATATAATTTTTCATCTTAAACCATTATCGACAACTTCTGCGTAAGATTATATTATCTTATTGTTTGAATATAATTAGTATTGTTTTGAAATAAATTATACATTAATTGCTATTCTTAAAAAATATACTTAATATCGTAATTTATTAATATTTAAACTAAAAAAAGTAAATATTAAAAAGTAAATATTAAATAAAATAGCTTTCATAAATGTATAATTACTATACATTGGAGACGATTAATGATGATTATATAAACTTAATAAAATTTTTAAATATTATGAATCATTCGGCGGTTTCATGATAACATCAATTAATCAATAACGTGAGTAGCATTGATCCCCCTTGGTTTACCGCAGAGCTTCCGTAATTATACATTTCCCCACATTCGCACATTGATTCAGAATAATCTATGTTGCCGGGTCATTAAGACTCTTCACTCTGAACACAGTTAAACGTTTAAGAAACGTAATATATCATCACAAACAATCTATTATAAAACTATTCGGAAAGGTTTCCGATTGGAAGCATATTGTTTTTTTCCTAGATAATATTATATAATAAGAAATCTGAAAAATAAAATTATTTCGATCGCAAATATTTTCGAATAGAAATATCACTTATACCCTTAAACGACTTTATTAGTATTGAAACTTCCGGCAATCTTTTATTAATTATCCAATAATTATCGTTGTAACATAGTCAGATAGTAAAAATTAGAATTCTAATTTTATTATGCGCAATTTAATGAAACAGATCCAAAACGTCAAGATATGACAATATACATATATGTATAATACATATTGTCAGCATTATATGTAATGAAATATAATTGATAAATAAAAACAATTAAAAAAGAAATTAATTAAAAACTTTAATTTTTTATAATCAATTTATTATAAAAAATTTTTGTATACACACATACTATATTAGCTTTTCGGCCTTCGCGAAGCGCGGGCCTTAAGGCCTTTACCCAACACTAACCCCGCTATTATTATCAGAAAGAAATATTTTTATCGGCTCTCAATATTAAGAATATAAATATGATGTTTTTAAATCGGCCAACAGAACCAAAGCACGAAAAATTAATTATTCGGAACTGTATTTCTTGGTTTGAGATCACTAAGTTCCATATATAAATTAATCTCAAAACTTACATATGGAGAAATAGGCGCGAAAAATATAGGTCCGAAAAGTCGCTGAAGCGGGAATCGAACCCGCGTCTTTCACTTTCCGGGCGACTGCTCTTACCCGCTATTATTAGTTTTTACAATTTTTTATTTTACAAAACCTCTTTGTATACAACATTTATTGTAAAAAATTTTAGGTTTCCTTTAATGTTGCAAATTTTTTCGGAGAATACGACGATAAAATACGTTTTCTTTCCATTCTCCTCTCAAATAAATTCTCACACAGATGTGTTTTGTAAGGTAACTCCATATATAATCCAAATTTCTATAAATACCATGTACTTGTTCAATTTTTTTAGAGTGTTCCCCAAGCCCCAAGAATTTTTTTATGGTTTTATCGTATTCAGAAGATCAAAATCCACAAAAAACACTTTTGCTTTTCACATAGTAGCCACCCCTGAAAAATTTGCAAAATTTTGGTACTATTTTCAAAAAAATCGATCGATAAATGTATAAATACGTGGGTGGGTATGTCAATAAAAAACCACATAGTACGATGTTTTGGAACATTCTAAACCTATTCTGAATCCATTAGCATAAAAATCCAAAAAAAATTTTTTGCAACATAGCCTCCTCTATGAGAAAGAAAAAAAATTTTTTTTACACTACATAATACGATGTTTCTGAACATTCTAAACACATTAACGTAGAAAATTTTTTTCGCGAAAACATATCCTCTATGAGGAAAACAAATTTTTTTAATTTAAAAATAAACCACACAGCAGCCTATTCCGAAAAATCGCGTTATTTAAGATGTTATATTTGTTAAGCAAACAGTTTTATTAGTTAGTATCTTATTACATTTTATAATATAATTTTTTGTTTTCTGAAGAATTTTAATTATTAAAAGCTATAATTAATTTTTCATAATATTACGGACAGCACATACATGCTATGAGTTTGATTGTTCATGCACTTCTTAAGATTTTTTATTTTTAAACGGAGAACAGTTCTATTAGGATTTTCCTATATTTTTAAACATATATGCTTTCATTTTCTAAAAAGTCTTAATCATTATAAGCCATAATTAATTAATTCCATAAGTTTGCGAATATCTTTTGAGTATTAGATATATTAGATTGTGCACACTTTTTAAGATTTTTAGGAATAATTAGCACACAATACAATCGGAACATTTATAATTAATCTCATTTAACGTGCAATTTTAAAATTTCAAATTAAATTTATATTACAAAATAAAGTTTGATTAGAATTTAAAGTTTCGTTATTTCTAGAAATAATATTCGGATTATCATTTATGATAAACATATCTTGACATTTTAGATTCTGTTTCATTGAATTGCGCATATAGTAAATGCATTATGATTCTAATTCTTACTATCTTACTATGTTACAACGACAAATTGATTAAATTTGTGGTTTGATATCTACGGTGAATACGACACAATATTTACATTCTCCACTATTGTGTACTCAACAACCACAATATCCTCAACATCTATGTGAATTTAATCATTATTTTATTAAAATGACATTGTGCAATAACATAATAAGGACAGGATAATATTGTTATTATCATAAAATAATTACATATATAAAATGTAATAACTGCAGTAACTGGTTTCTGATATTTTATTGTTATCATAATTAATTCACAACCTATTCAATTATATATAGATTCTATACATAATAAGTTAAATATTTAGCGTGAATTCTAGATAACATTAATGATATTACTTAAATATCGAAAAACAAGAGAATATAATAAGCTATGCTCATTAATATTTTTAATTTTTGATAAAGAGACAATTTCATATAATGATAAGAATATTAAGAATATCAGATCAGCTCTTCTATTTTTAATATAAAACACGATATACACCTCCTTCTTCTCGGCCATAGAGCCAAACGCGATGTTATTGCGAAAATTGAGGAATCTGAGAATTTCGTATCCTGTGGTTAAGATCTCGAAAACTTTTCTTGTTCCTCTTATTAACTTCCTCTGTAAGAAATAAGCGAGAAAAATATTAATCCGAAAGTTGGCTAAATCGGGAATCGAATCCGAGATCTTCCGCTTGCCGGACGAATGTTCTTCCAACTGAGCTATTTAAAGAACAAGAAGAGTTTTTAAGATCCCAACCACAAGATACGAAATTCCCAGATTCCTCAATTTTCGCAATAACATCGCGTTTGACTCTATGGCCGAGAAGAAAGAAGTGTATATCGTGTTTTATAATTTCATAAAATATTTTATATAAAACATATGTTTTATAAAAAAATTATCTTACACATCTTCTTTTTTACATAATATAAATACAGCAGTATTATTAAATAATAAGTTTTTTCAATCCTTTTTGGCCTAAACTTTCTCAAAGCGCTAATCTATTTGATTGTAATGTAATGATATAACTATTTTCGACTTATTTGAAATTTTATTCATAAAATTTTATTATAATTGCACAATTTTAATAATTACATTATTTTAAAATAATGGTTTTTTCCATCTAACGCACTTTAATTTAATTAATTAGATAAACAAAAGATTATTTATAATTGCAGATATATGAGCGTAATACTGTACGTGTGTTTCAGGTTCGAGTTTATTTTGAACTAGTAATTTGCAAATGTTGCTGCGTGATGAATCGAACAAACGTGCGACGTCATGAAACGCAAGAATTAACAGGATTTCAACGCTCAGAACTTGTGCCATGTAATTCGGGTAAGTATTCTATAACAACTTGATTCTAAAATAACTTGATTGATATTTAAATGCAAGCGTGACATTTTATTTTTGTTTCACACTCACGAATATTTCCCGTTTAATAATTTGCTTAATATATGTGACGATTCGATACAGTTTATTTGCTGCTTGGAATAAAATATGATTTTAATTTAATGTTATACATACAAAAAAATGAAAAAACATTAGTAATGTTATTTTTAAAACATTTCTTCAAAGTTTTTATTTTTGCACTTATTTTACTTTTTAATATGATATATATTATTTTACATTTTTATATTCCTTCTGTCTAATTAAATTTGCTACACAGAAAACTAAACTGTATCATATTGACAATGCTAAATTCCTACTAACGAATTGGAAAGACAGCGTCAAATCGCCGAATTATATTGTCCGAAACGCCAGATAAACAGTATTGATTCGTCCAATATCTCGTCCAAAGGGTCGAATATTGTGATGCAGATATCGCGTCTATAGATGGCTGCAAAGCATGTAGATCGTTAATCTTCAAAGGTTTTATACACAAGGATAGACAGTTTTCATTTAGCATTTCCTATATTTCTTAGTACACAGCGACATGAGCTTATCTATGTGCATGTGAAACTGTAATGTATATGTAAGATAGTTATGAAAAGATTAAGATAGTTACAATTATGAATAAAGCGATGTTTTTACTCATTTCTTAAAATATCACATTCAAAACCACAAAAGGGCATTTTCTTTCATTTTCAGATATAAGTTTTAAATGATAATAAAAAATAATGTATTTGTGTTGTAAAATAAAGTGATTAAGATATTTTAATAAGCTTTTAAAAACATATATTTATGTAATTTTTTCTATTTTTATTACACTATCTGGTGCAATAAAATTAATGTTTAATTTATAATTCAGACATTATTTTATATATATTAACTCATAAAGAATAAGGCCCATATGCAGAACAAAGTAATACATATCGTAACTTTAAATCTCAATATTATATATTTCAACAGCAATTAAAAAATCTCATTTATTTCAAAAACAAATAAAATATATCATGTTTATATTTTAAGTCATCTATAAATATCAATAAAATTGATATATTTGTTAGTAACAAATAAACCATATAAATAACAAAAAAATGTTTCTAATACAAGCGATCCATTTCGACTTTGAATAATTAATAAATCCCATTGGAAGAACAAATTAATTTGCATTTTAATTACCACGCTTGGCTCTCAATTAGTTCAATTTTTCCCATTTGAATAATATAAGAAATGTTTATAAATTTATCACTTTTTGTTTTTAGAAGCTATTTGTTATCATGTTTAAAAAATATTTTTATTAATCATATTTTTTAATTACATGTTTTGATATATTAGAACAAAGATACGCATTTACTATAATTTATTGATTTTATTCTTTTTTGTCTTTTTTTTTTATGTGTATTTTTATTATAAGGCGGATATACGTGCGCACATGCTCTTTTATAACGTTATGCAGCAGGACATACCTGCATACAAGTATTTTATATATTTTATTTAGCGCACGTATATGCAACTAGTATACACGTTGAAAAACGTTAGTCTTAGATTTCAAAGCTAGTAAGTTTTATTTAGGCCGTCACATATTTTTATGTTAACTATTTTCGGAATAGCAACCTCTAGACTCTAAGCAATATTAATTCGAACAGATATTTGATTTAATGTTAGTATCATTCTCACACACAGTAAAATTATGTCGTGTAAGTTATACGAAGCAACGACATGTTAATTCAGCTGTTTAAAGAAATATACAATATCAATTTAGCTTTAAGTAAATAATTAAAATATCTTTTATTGTAAATATATGTATATATATGTATATATATATATATATATATATATATATATACACAATTTAATAAATACAATTGACGTGTATAATATATGTATATATGCACGTTTTTATAAAATTATATATTTATTAAATATATATTTTTTTATTTTAATTATACAAATATTAGAGATTAAAGATTATTTTCAGAGAACACTTTTTTGAAAGTATTAAACGTTTTTAAGATAAAAATAGTTTAATAGAGGAAACGCAAATCAATTTGTGCACCAATTTATTATTTTCGAGTTCAATCATCTGCAATAGTAGCAATTTACAGTTTAATTGTATGACATACAGAGAAAAGTTCTACTGAAAAATATTGACCTTTAATATTGAAAAAATATTTTCAAAAATTTAATAATGCATATAATATTAGAAATATAAGTTAATCTCTATTAAAGAGAAAAAATAATAAATTTGAAAATTTAAATAATGCAAATATTATATATCCACGCATATACACAATGCGTGGATATACAGGGTGTCCGGTAACTAACGGACCATTTTTTTTATTACAATTAATACCATTTGATTACAAATGGATTCTTTGGTCAATTTGGGAACGATTTTTCCTCAGCAAAAATGTCATCATTTTTTACAACTTTCCAATATTTGTCATTATGTATCTTTATAACTAAGCCTCAAATTAAAACTTTATTATAGTAAACTCTACCTGAAATTAACTAAAGAATATAATTATGTTAGACTTTTAACTCCAAAACGTTTAGTTTTCAAAAAACCCATTTTTTTCAATCGCTTATAACTCAAAAATTATTGACTTCTCAACATTTTTACTAAGGAAAAATCGTCTCCAAATTGGCCAGAGAATCCGCCCTTAATCATTGATCCGTTAGTTACCGGACACCCTGTATAATATTATCGTGATTGCATTATGCAAGAAAATTAGACTTTTTGCAAATTTTGCAGAAATTGCGCAAAGTTTACAATATTCTTAGCTGGCAGAAAATAACTTCAGCAAATATTTAATCTTTTCCTTGCGTTTCGCCTTTTGTTTCCAGATCGTTTTAAATCAACCTCCATCAGGTGGCGACAGAGCATGACAGAGAGCCAGGTACAAACGTTTAAAATTAATGCTCGAACAATGAGTAAGAGACTCCAGCTTAAAGAGGACGTTGCTATAATTTGAATTAAGTATTAATTTAATTTTACATTACAAAAACAACTTATCCATATTACAGATGATGTCATAAATATTTTCACTTTTATGCTTCACGCAATGATTTTTGTTAAAAGCAGTCCTTGAATGTTATAATTTTATAATACAATTATATATGATTGCATAATTGCTAAGTAGCTAATACTATTGTACAATAAGTTAATAATAAATAAATTAATTCTATCATAACTATTTAAAAGATATTATTTTCGTACGTGTAATATAATGGAATTACAATAAAGTTTCATGTTATTTGTAATACTCAATATATATTAATGTAGTTATATATGCGTCTTATATATTTATGATAACCATTTGCTATTCTTAAAGCTATTATTATTATTATAATGTGACAACAAGATTTTGTGAATAGTATGAAATAAACGTTGTTTGTTCAACTATAAATAAACATAGTTGTTTTATTTTCAAACTTTATTTTCTCTTGCTTTATTTAAAAAATGTATATATATATTGCTTTATTAATATAAATGTAATTATTTTTATATAACTATTTTATATATACAATCTAAATAAATATATTATATATATTTTGCATAAAAATACATATTATTTAACATTTGATTCCATCTTTTTACAATAATCTTTAAATCTTATAGTTGCTTATGAATAAACATTTTATAGACAACAAATATTTCATCATGAACATTGTTTTATTTTAGTTTGTATTATACTTTGAATGACATAGTTATACTCATTATTATTTTTTTCTTGTTATCCTTTTGTAATCTTTTTAATTGTGAAATCAGAATATTGTACTACCGTATATAAAATTATTATTCTCATTAGCGCGTAAATAAAAGGTTGTTACAATGTACTTTGAAGCTTTAGTGACGGATTATTTGCGCGTTAAAATATAATGCTCAAGAATAAAATAATGATTTGTTTGAGCAATTTATATAAAGAATGCATTTATTTATAATAAATTAATATTTATTATTGTTTTTGCATAGCAACTTTCATTTAAAACGAATTAAAACAGATTGAATCAAAATAAATTGAGGAAAAAATGAAAAATATTTAAAAGTATAATCTATTGTAATATATAATTCAACAAATGGATACATATAATTATACTATATTAACAATGTTAATTGTAATTTTTTAACCTATTATAAAATCATCATTATCATTTAGTTGAATGTAAATAAAGAAAATATTAACGCAATAATATAAAACGCATTAACTTTTAATTATTAATTATTTGCATAGTTTATTGTACATATATGAGAATTAAATCGACAATACGCGGCAAAATATAAATGTTGACTTAAAAATATGAGTGAAAGACTTGATTGAAAGGACATATGATTTTATGTTACAGATTTAAACAATGACTTTAAGTACAATACTTTAAAAGATTTAATGCGCTTACTATTCACTTAAGCGGCAAGAAATAACGCGAAAATTATTAAATTTGATTTTCTACTTTCTAGTAAAAATGTTCTATTATAGAGACAGAGAAATAAAGAATATACTTATTTTTCAATATTGAACTCATCAAATATTCAAGTAAAATGGTTATTATGTTATGCAAATTCGTAAAAGAAGAGAATATATGTGTCAATCTTAATAAAATAATACTTTTAATAAAAGTAAAAATTCATTACAGTCGAATTTATGTAAATAATTCGACGATATAAATTTGAATAATATTTTATTTATTTACATTTAAATTTTGAACTCCAAAGCATACGCTGTAACTTTAAAAATATTTATCGCTCAGCTGTTATAAACACATATTCCAACATTTCTTTTAATAATAATTTATGAATTTCTGAAGTCTTAATAAATAATATTGCTATCATCAATAGTTTGTTTTGTAACCTATATTATATCTATAATTTGTATTGATCACAAACTAGTGCATTACTTATCTATGTTAATAGCATTGCATGGCTATTTCGGAGATACAGTCATAATTCTTTTTCTATTATAATCTATTTTTGCAATTGTATTGAAAGTGTCATTAGAGCTAGCATGTTTCAAGGATCTTATATTTTAACATTTTTATATAAATATATTTTATTTGTTTTTTATATTGCTCTCTTAGTTTTGATATATAAATTTATTAACTTTAATTAATTTAACTTAAATTAAATTTATTTTAATTAATTTAAAATTATATTTATAAATAACAAAATTTTTTTTATATGATATTTATAATGTTATATTTAATTGTTCTTACGCGATTTTAATAATAGAAAACATTGACAGATTTGTTTATTTATAATTTTAATATAAAACAAACAATTTTTGCCTGTGCGTTATCTTCTTTTACTATTTTGCAATATATTGCATTAAATAAATCAATTCCATTAAATATTTTAGAGAAAAATTATAGGTAGTTTATACAACTGTTGTAAAAAGTGGCAGATATCTAGAATGAAACATAAAAAACTGTAATAATAAAGTTTTCAATAATTAGAAATTCAGTTTTAATTGTAGTAAATACTCAGACTTTTTAAATTTTATTCTATCGCTATTTGAAAAATATAACAGACAGTTTGTGATGAAGTAGATTTAGATAGTATTTAGAATATTTAAAAGAGATTATTCATCATTTAAGTTTTAAATACAGGAATTAATGTCTACTAAATAATTTAAACGTTGTAATAATCCACCATTTAAAAATGAATCAGTTTAAAGCTTTTTTATATTCAGAAATATCAACGAAAACATGAACTGAGAGATTAATCTTTTTCCTCTTTTTATGTGTGCGCATAATTTATTTCAAATTTATAATTTTCTAAGTTTTTGTTAAAATTTAATTTAAAAGAACAATAACATCTATAAAGTTACTATAGCATAGCAATTGAACAATGATATTTTGCTTACGTTGCCGAATGTAATGAAAACCGTAACGGAATTATTATAAATGATAATCATGTTGAAAGAGCATCATTTTGAACAGCTATAGAAAATTATTGTATTCTCATGTTATACAAAATTCAGAAATTGTATTCCGAGATAAAATACTCGGATTAAAAAAAAGAATTAATATCTCGGCTATCTATCACATATATAATAAATGAAAAATCAAGTTTATCGCCTATATATAATGTTGGATTTGAAAATTGTATTTAATGTTAAAAAACATAAATGTTACGATGCTACTGTGACACTTCAAGATTTTATGATTTTCGTGAGACGTATCGTGACGGAAAAACGAGTTTTTACCCCTGTTATGCAAAGTAGAGTGCAAACGTGATGGAAGTATATAAATTGCTCACGCACAAAATGTACTATATTTTACCTAGATAGCCACAGTAATTATTATGACATCATTTTGATGACAAATAATGCATTTTGACATCAAAATGATGTCATAATAATTACTGTAGCTATCTGGGTATAAATTATCTTTTATTAAATTAGTCTAAATTATTGCATTTTTTCATACGTAATATTTGTTTATCTATATATTGTATATTATATTAAAAACAATCTACACACATACTATATAATTTAGTGCATATAAATATTGTATAAAACATTGTATGCATCTCAGTTAATTATATAGAAAATTAAAATGCTTATGTCGGAGTTTGAAGTTGGATAAAACAAAAGTAATACAGAACATGCTATTAAAATGCTATTAAAAAATTACTTCAGCAAAGACCGCTTGATTCCAGAAAATATACAGTAATGTAGGATTTGTAGTAATAAATAATTTTTAACCGAGATAATGCGCACAACAATTATAAAACAACAATAATAAAAAACTTAAATCTCAAGTCCCCAAAGCATAGTACGATTCATGTCATTAAGACTGCAAATTAATTGAAAATTGCTTGCACACAAGACGCATGTTGCTCTTTGAGTGATTTACTTCAGTCACGTTTATCGTTGGCACTCAGCTTTGTACAAAAGGGACAAACGTTATCGCTTCTATTCCCCTATCTCGAATTACCACGACACGTGTGTTTGAGATGATGTCGGATTTATTATGAAAAGAGGAGAACAATGACCTCGTTTCAAGATTGAAAGGCTCTTGTGCTTGCTAAAGAACCCTTCATCATTTTATTATTTGATGAATTCATTGGTAAATCAAGATTTTTAAATATAAATATTATTCATAAGTATTAATAAATGGATAATTAATTTAATGGGTCACATCAGGTGACATTTAACGTTAATAAATCGGTTATTTATTGCGATAAACATATATTTATATAAAAATATCATATACTCATGCATCTATGTCGATAATCAGATTCAGACTGAAAATGTACTTATTTAATTTTTATTATGATTTCCATATGCTTATATTGCATTTTTCTTAATATCATAAATATAATAAACTATTTAATTAGATTCCTTAAATACAATATATAATATGCGATATGACATTACAGCAACAAACTGATTTATATAAGAATAACAGTGAAGCAAATATTTTTAGGAAAAATTAAAAATACTTTTATTTGTTTTTAATATCATGAGTATATTCTATATCTCGTATGAATAATGTCTTGTTTTATTACGAAGCATTTGCTTTGAATTATTTCCTCATAAATTTTTATTCAGCCACCTTGTTGTAATATTCGTATTTTTATTCTTCTTATATTTCATAGCAGAGAGCTTTTATGTTTTTTTATGGAAGCAAATTCCTTGTACTTCAAGTACGCGAAAATCCTCCTATTTTTACTTATATATTATAATTTGTTTTATATGCTTTTTATTTTCCTTCTAATACAATCTTTATTTCAAATTTTCATTAAAGCTTGCTTGTAATTAATGTTTTATGACATATGCTACAAATAGTTTATTACTCATAAATTAAGTAACTCTATAATATATGCTATAAATATTTTATTACTCAAAATTGAACTAACATATTCCAAAAGGATATGTCAAATCATGCGTTACATTAGTTTATTAATATATGTTACGTCATGCTGTCGGTCCACAGAGTAGCAAAATTTTGAATAAAACATTGTGTGTCCTCTCCATAGTTCAGAACTATACATGAATATAGTTTCTGAGTAATATACATACCATCTAATATAATTTTAATATGATACGGTATATACATAATTTTACGTCATCATGTGGTACGAATGCATATGACTTGAAAAATTATATTGTGTCGAGTCTTGTAAATGTAAGAAACAACACTCTTGGTCTAGC